GACTGGGACACCAACCCAGCCACATAACCTTTGACCTACAATCTGTCCTGCCTCTGAGGATGTGCTGGGGTAAAGCTGTCACAGAAGTTGTGGAAGTGGTCAACCAATGACTGGTCCAGCCTGAGAACCATGCCACAAGAGGGAGCCCAGACTGCCTAGAGAATCAGGATGCCCAGAGATCTATGATACAAACAAACATGAATGGCAAAAAAAAAAAAAAAAGAAAGAAAGAAAAAGGAAAAGGAAAAGGAAATAGATGCAGACACCCACAGTCAAACATTAGGCAGTACTAAGGGAATCCTACAGAAGAAGGGACAAAGAATTGTAGGAGCCAGAGGGGTCAAGGACACCACAAGAAAACCCACAGAATCAACTAATCTTGGCTCACAGACGCTCACAGAGACTGAAGTGACAACCAGAGAGCCTGCATGGGACTGACTATGCCCTCTACATATATGCTACAGTTGTGTAGCTTGGTCTTCTTGTGGGACTCCTAACAGTGGGAGCAGGGGCTGTCTCTGACTCTTGTCAGCTTTTGGGACCCTGCTCCTCATACTGGCTGGCCTTGCCCAGCCTTAATATGAGGGGAGGTGCCTAGTCTTACTGCAACTTGATATGCCATGTTTGGTTGACATTCATGGGAAGCCTGCCCTTTCTGAATGGAAACGGTGGAAGAGTGGATGGGAGGAGTTGGGGGGAGGAACTGGGAGGAGAGGAGGGAGGGGAATCTGTGGTCAGGATATAAAATTAATAATAATAATAATAATAATAATAACAAAATAACATCATAAAAAAAGGAACCAGCCTTTAAAAATATCTCAAGTAACACACTTCGACTCCAGTTCTCCCATGGCTGCCATAGGCTTTCAGGGGTAATGCGCACATAACAGTCCCTTAGTCTCTCTTCACCAGTGGAAAAACCATAGCAAACTTTTTCCTTTATTCTTCCCTGTGTTATTTGAAATTTGAGGATTTTCTTATCGTTTGGGTTTAGAAACAGGGTCTTGCTATACAGTGCATGCTGGCTCCAATTGCTACCTCGGTCTTTTGAATGCTGTGGGTTACTATGCCCAGCACTAGTGTTAGTTTTCAACTGGAAAGATGAACACATTTCGATAAGTGCAAAAAGCCAGCAACAAAAGATGATGGGTTGTATTTACATAAACAGCAAACAGTCTTAGAGGTGGAGAGGGAATTCATGGTTTCTTGGGGCAGGGAGTGACTGCTAATGGTCATAGAGTTTCTTTGGGGGGCGATGAAAAGGCTCTGTGCACACATCAAGCAGCACGGCTCTGTAAAATGTGAAAGACCTGATGCACCATATGCTCTGAGCCGTGAATTTTATGATGTGTGAATTGTATCTAAATAAAGTGGCTAGAAAGAGAGAGATTGAGAGGTAACGAGAGAGCAGCTCCACCCAGTGCACACAACAGGGGCAGTGCTGGGGTGACCCATGATGGACCATGAAGTCTCACAGGTGGATGAAGATGATGAGACCAAGAGTCTTAAGGGGGACGAGACACAGCAGGATCAGTTTTCAGAAATTCTGCTGTGCTATCACAGGGCACGCCTGCGGCAAGGACAAGCCAGCAACAGACACGTAGAACACAGCACTCCTAAGGGCCAGCTAGGCATGCAGGTCTTTTCTTAGACTATGGGGGACTTTATGAACCTAATTCCACTCTCAAGTAATTTACAGTTCAGACAGACTGCTAATATACTCACATGAATTAATATGAGAGAGGGTGGCAAATGGCAGAGGATCTCAAGCCTTTTCTTCTGCAGTCTGATTGCTAGTCTAATATACCTTTCCATCATTAAGGCCACGTAGGTGGGTCCCATCATTTGCCCCATATCAGATCTTTCAGACTATGCAAGCGTTCCCTCCCTTGTGATGGTGCCTCCGAAATGCAGTTCCAAGTTTCTCTTTGGTCTCTATCAAAAGTCATTAAGACCCTGAAGAACTTTAAAGAACAACAACTACAATAATTATGTGGCTGGAGCGATTGCTCAGTGGTTAAGAGCACTGGCTGTTCTTCCAGAGGACCTGGGTTTGATTCCCAGCACCCACCTGGAGGCTCACAAGCATCTGTGATTCCAGTTCTAGGGATCCAGTGCTTTTTTCTGGTCTCTCTGGGCACTGCACACTTGTGATATAAAGGCAGACATGCAGGCAAAACTTCTATATACATGAAGTTTTTGTTTTAATCTCAAAAAATAAAGAGCAATAGCTACAATAATCAGAGCAGGAGCAGGAGCAGGAGTGTCAAAGTGCTTGCTGCACAAGCCTGAAGACCCATGGGAAAAACCAGGCGTGGTGGTGTGTGCATGCAGAAATACACATATGTACAGTTGTCTGACCATCCTTAATGCAGCTGTGGGGGGAAACAGTGATGGCAGACAGTTAGGTCTCTACTTCTGCCAAGTGTACTCCACATACAACGTTATGACAAAGCATCCACCCTGTGCCCATGCAGCGTGCTCATCCTCATGTGAGAGGCTCATTCTCCCCTCTACTACACAGATTCCAGAGCCATCAACTGGCAGGCAGGCATTGGCACATGTAATTAAAAGGACAGGAAAAAAGATGCATAAATAAGAAAGTGGGGAAGCTCAGGAAAGAATCAGACAGAAGAATCCGCAGTGATTCAGCAAACCACACCAAATGCCATTATTTTAGGCCTTTCGCAGGAGATAGAAAGCAGACAGGATGTCAAAAACCCTGATCCAAGAGCACTGTGAAAGGCCTTGGAACTGAACGGGCTTCAGGGAATGTCCAAGCCAGACAGATTGGCAGAGGACGGAGCTCCGCGTAGGGGATACTGGACACATGTGGCTCCAGAGCGGATGTGGAACACTGATGAAACAAGAGGACACAGGGACAGCAGGAAAACAAAATCCTATGACTAAACAGGGTTATGCTCCTCCTCAGGGGCTTTTATCTACCCGGACCATAAAAAACTGGAACATCTGAGGAATACAGACTAAAAGTAGAAATGAACGAATCCAAATCAAACAAGAAACGAAGTATCTACACAGACCTACAACTGCTCCTGACATTTTCCCAGTTGGGAAAACTTGGGACTGAACCCAAGGGATTCAGTATCAATGGGTTTGGTTTGGTTTAATTTGGTGAGACAATGCCTTGAACTCGAAGCCGTTTTCCTGCCTCTGCTTTCTAAGTGCTGGGACTACAGAGTAGTCAGGATCCTGGGCTGACTGCTTCATCTCCGTCTCCAGTCATCTCAACAGGGAGGGTGACATGCTGCCTATCGAGAGAGATCTTGAGGGCTCACTGAGGTGATAGTACAGTGCACCTGTGGCACGATTCCTGGCATACACCAAACACTGAACTAGACTAACTACACTAGCTACCTACTTTAGACATGGACATGGGCAAGCAGGCCAAACCTGCAGGCCACCGTCTGGAGAGACATGATGCTGGGATGAGCTAGGACAATGACACAGTGAGTCACACTACCTGTAACATGGGTTCCTACTGGATCTCACTCCTGCTACACCGCCTTATTTAAGATCACCTCGTCTTGAACCTTGGGCTGAACACTATGCCCAATTTAATCACTCAGCTTACCGGTGAAATTTGCATTTCATGGAACAAACCACTTAGAAACATCGATAAAAATTTAAAGAACAATTGAAATACTGTATGCAAATCTTTAAAACTAAAACCTGACCTGGGGCTCACAGATAAGCACTGGGAAAACCAGGAATGTTAAACACACAGTGTTGTCTCTTCAATGAAAGAGATACATAACTGTTTTCTGCCCAGAAGGAGGTACTAATAGCTTAGATGATCCTTGCACTATTTGTACGGTCAGGGGACCCCCAAACTCCTCCAAACAGGACTGGAGGTGGCTAACAGCCCAGATGACCTATGTGCTATCTGAATGACCAGACCACACCAGATACCTCCCTCAGGCCCTTAACATGTGTGACCTGTCTTTAGAACCCATCTTCATGGAAGAAGTGACATTACATACAAACTCTGTGGGAAGAGTTTGTATGTAATGATGCCGCCTTGTGTACATGGGATTGTGTTACACCAGGGAACTGTTGTTCAGATTGTATCAGACTTGAATATGATGACAATAAACTGCCCAGTGTCAGACTCCAGAAGTTTAACCAACACCAGCTACTGAGTAGTGCTGAACTGGATTTGCTTTGTGCCTCACTCAATCATTACTCTGCCGGCTGTGGTGTTTGCAGAGATGCCACAATAACCGAAGCCTGGGAATGACACATTACATCAACAGAGTGTTTTCATCTGCTGTTTGAGAAGAATGTCGGACAGCATCATGACAAATGAACTCCATGGCAGGTGCCGCAATACGTGTCCAGTAGAGCCCACCAGCAAACGGAGACTACTGCAGAGTGGAAGGACCAGATGGTGGGTTCGAAAGGGGCGTCTTTGTTTTCGGAGTGCTGAGTTTGGTTTTTCCTTCGACTTTCAGCTTTATAGAGTCACCCAAGAAAGGAGTCTCAATGGAGGGACTGTCCAAATCAAACTGGCCTATGAGCATGTCTAGGGGGACCTGTCTTGATTGTTCATTGATGCTGGAGGGCCCAGCGCACAGTGGGAAGGACCATCCCCTGGGCAGGTGGTCCTGGCCTAAGTAAGGAAATCGGTTGAGCATGAGAATGTGCAAGCCAGTGCTCCTCCATGGTTTCTGATACTGTCTTGACCATGAGTGAGTTCCCTGGTTAGAAAGTATTCTGCATGGAATAGCAAGCAGGCCTGCCTTAGAGTTCCTGCTTCGATTTCCCTCAAAGACGGACTGTGACCTGTAAACTGAAATACGGCTTTCCTACTCTACATTGCTTTCGGTTGGATTATTTTATAAAACCAGAAACAGATGTGAAACTAGAACACCTCTTATTCAGATGTTCATTAGCATGTCTATGTCACACAGTAGAGATGGGACTGCAGCTGAAGTGCCTGTCTGGAAATGTTCGAGTTTAAAGCACATGCAATAGCTCACCTTTATGCGGTCAGGGTCCACATAATGCATCGTTTTCATGTCACATTCTTCAACAGTGTAATTTACCTTGAAGATGTACAGGAGCCACACTACAAACACAACCACTGTACACCTGTGGGGGGGAATCAGGTATAGTAAGGCAGTCTGTGATAGCCAGAGAAAAACATAAACCAAGTGCAATCCTAGTTCAAATGGAATAAAAGTAGACTCTAAGGCAGTGGTTCTTAACCAAGGAGTTGAATGACCCTTTCACAGGGTTGCATATCAGATGATATTCAAATTATGATTCATAACAGTAGCAAAATTACAGTTATGAAGTAGCAATGAAAACAATTTTGTGGTTGGTCAATTTTGTGGGGGTCAGCACAACATGAGGAACTGTAATAGTGGGTCGAAGCAGTAGGAAGGTCACCATAAAAGGTCTGATAAAAGGTCACCATAGGGTAAAGGGAAGGTGTCATTTCCTGAGGAGATAGTCATTTATGATTGTCGTTTTTATAAGCAAATACAGAATCCTCTCCCAGCCCGACTTTCTCTTGCAAGGGCAGAGAATCCAAATAATAAAATCCAAATTACAACAGAGTGAGCGAGTGAGCGATAGAGCTGAACTACTGAACAACAGAACCTTTGCTTCGATTGTTGCTGTTTTTTTTTTCCCTGTTTCTTTAAACACTGTCAGGACTTTAAAAAAAGAAACAATCTGGGTGCAGGGAGAGGTGGGAAAGTGGTAGATGCAGTTCTCATGTATGAAGTTCTCAGAGTTTTCAAACAAGAAACAATCATACATGGTGGCTAACCGCCTGTAACTCCAGTTCTAGGGGTTCCTCTCCTGACCTCTGGCACTAGACATGTACATGGTGTACAGACACACTTGCAGGCAAAATGTTAAAAAAAAATCTAGTTGTATTTCTAGAGAATTCTACCACGAAATGAGTAATTAGAGGGCACTAACAGTTACCCTTAAGAGTATCAAAGAGCTATCTTCAGAGCTCTCATAAATTCACACTAGTTTGTCACTTCAGGCACATGGCCAGACACACAGTCCTTGGAGGAAACAGAGTGTCAGTTTTGGTTCTAGAGATGCTGATGCTGATGCTGGCACCATCATCATCGCTAGCATCAGCATCAGCATCAGCATCAGCATCATCCTTCTCTTCCTCCTTGTTTTTTGAGACAGGGTCTCTCTAAGTAGTCATGTCTTGCAGCTTGCTCTGTAGACCAGGCTATATTTAAGTCACAAAGCTCCCCCTGCCTCTGCCTTCCCAGTGCTGGGATTAAAGGTGCACACCCACCATGCCCAGCCGAGATATGATCTCAGTTTTAATAAGTCCCCAGTAACAATGATAAGCGAAGGTTTACAATGTCTAACCCACAACTTAAGAGCCACTGCTTTTCTTAAGACTATTCATTTGTATGTTATGTGTAGGAATATTTGCCCACATATATGTATGTTTGCCACATGTGCACCTGGTCCCCAAGGAGGACACATGAAGGTCACATCTCCTGGAACTGGGGTTACAAGAGGTTATGAGTCACTACATGGGTGATGGAAAACAAACCCAGGTCCACTCAAAGTGCACAAAGTACTCGGGAGACATTCCTCCAACTCTCCAATCTATGTTTTTATAAAACAAAGGCAAGGAATAATCTTTTGAGAAAAATAATACAATTTCTTAAGGCAGAGGCAGTTTTTAAAATAAAGCCCCTAGCAAACTATGCTGGCTGTAATAGATGCAAAATGCCGAGGAAACAGCAACGCACAGAGAGGTTGCTGGGAGTGTTTAAGACTTCCAGAGTTCTTTCTTCAACATGCTGCACACAGAAACCTGGACTGCATCTTAAGTTTCCCCTGGGATTGAGTACACAGATCTGGTACTGTCTATGAAAATGGCTTGGCTGAGTTGGGAGAGAGCAAATCTCGTTACGAGAAATACATCTTATACATACAAGATACAGGTACAGGTAACGTCAGTTCTCCAGATCAGAAGGAAAACATGGAGAAGAGACATAACTCAGTATGATCAACTCCTCTCTCTAAACCCTATGATTATACAGCATGCATGAAATTCTCTCTCTCTCTCTCTCTCTCTCTCTCTCTCTCTCTCTGTGTGTGTGTGTGTGTGTGTGTGTGTATGAGTGGTATGTGTGTAATGTGTGTCACAGCTTTGTGGAAGTCAGAGGACTGTATGTTGGAGCTGGTCCCAGGGGACTGAACAAAGGTCACCAGGCTTTTTGGCTGGTACCTTTACCCTCTGAGCCACTTCCTGGCTCCTATACCCATTTTTGAGACAGGATTTCTTATTGACCTAGAACTTTCCAAGCAGCCTAGGCTGACTGACTAGTGAGCTCCAGGGATCCAATCATCTCTAAGACTTCCCCAGATCTGAGATGATAAACACATGCCTCCTTGCCTGAATTCTTTAATGTGGGCTCTGGGGATTGAACCCATGTCCTCGGTACTTTAATGACTGAAGTGTCTCCCAGCTCTCCTGCCCTGTCTTCTTTGCCTGCACCACACCCCCTGTGTTTGTTTTTGTTTTTTGAGACACAGTCTCATGTGATGGCCTCAAAATCACTATGTAGGTGAAGAAGATCTTGAACTCCTGATTCTCCTGCCTCTACCTCCTAAGTGCTGAGATAGCAGGCATATAGTACCACACCTCGTTTATGGACCACCAGAGATCAAATCCAGGGATTCCTGCGTGCTAGGTATGTGCACTACCACTGAGCTGGATCCCCAATTTGACGTTTTTTCTTTTAAGGAAGAGTAGTAAAGAGATCCCTACATCTCTTTGCTGTACTAGCATGGGTCTGCTGTGCACACACACCACTCAGCACGGGCCTAGGTCCATCTGGTCTGAGGTCCTATAGCAGGCACCTCTTAGAGTGGTAGGCGTGTTGTAAGCCTCAGTAAACAACAGCTGACGGGGACTGAATGGGATACAAGCCTTTATTCGCATAAACTTCCACCTCCTTTCATACCTCCTAGATTAGTAAAGTGAGGTGGGAGACAAAATTTCATCTTTCTTCCCCCACTCACACACACTCATCACACACATGACACATATCACACACACACACACACACACACATCACACACAGCTGAGGTTTAACCCACTGCTTGGACCCAGGGTTTTCCTCTAATAACAGGTAGGAACTTCACCGAACACTTCTCCTAACCCTATGCTGTTGACCTGGAGAGGGGACAGGACCTGGAGGCTGTGCTTACTTGACAATGCCTTTTAATAGCGAGCTGGGTCTTCTCATCTTGTTCTGGGTTTGGGTGTACCATTGCAGGGAGTTCTTTGAGCAATCTCTTCGCAGCTTTACAGAGGCGAACTCAGTTGGCATTGCTGGGAGGAGAGAGGGGAAGAGAGAAGCGTCAGGTGGATTACACATTAAGAGACGTTAGAGTGATCCTGCCATGCTTGGAGTGCTACTTGGTGGTAAAAAGGATGGACTGCTGATGCCACGACTTGGATTAAACTACAGGGGGTTAGGAAGAGCTGATGCTAAAGGTCCACACACTGTATGAGACATCACAATCTTCAGATGACAAGCCACAGAAGCAGAGAGCACAGCAATGGATGCCAGGTATGAAGGGGAAAAGGAGGGGTGCTAGTACATGCCTATAATCCCAGCACTTGGGAGGCTGAGGCAGGAGGATGGTGAGTACAAAGGGCTACAGACACTGTTTCGGGAAATAAATAAATGAATAAATAGATAGATAGGTAGATAGATAGATAGATAGATAGATAGATAGATAGATAGATAGATAGATAGATAAATAAATAAGTAGGAGTATGGGGTGTGGCACTGTGAGGACCCTGAAGTGAAGGAATGTTCTGGGTCTTGACATATCCTTGCTGACATACCTGTTGAGACACAGCACTATTGTTTTGCAAAAAGCCATGGTGGGAGGGGGTAAAGTTACAGAGAATCTATAGATTGTCACATATGAATCTACAACTATTTCAAAATTTAAAATCTTAATTTGGGGTAGGGGACTGGCAAGATGGCTAAGAAGGCCAAGGCAAGTCTGATGCCAGCAAATCTGATGAACTAATTAACTAATTTTGATCCCTGGGTCCCAACGTTTGAAAGTTGTCCTCTACCTCCCCCGCCCCCCCCACGTGTGTGTGTGTGTGTGTGTGTGTGTGTGTGTGTGTGTGTGATGGCACCTGTGTTGAGATCAGAGGACAGCTTCATGGAGTCCACTTTTCCTTCCACCTTTATGTGGGCCCTGAGCATTAACCCAGATTATCAGACTTGTCTTGTAGATTCCCTGTATGAGCCAAGGAATACAAAGTCACATTGATATCCTGGCTTCTCCCTCTTCCCGGTTCCTGGACAATCTGGCCCTGTTCCTGTTCCCGACTCCTCTCCTTCTCCTGCCCCATGGTTTTTCCTCAGCACCCGCCTGTCACTCCACACCAGCCCTCTCCTGGGCCTGGACCTTTTCCTTAGGGAGCCTTTCCTGGTCACCAGGCCTCTCTAATCCTTGTGGTCACCCCCACACCCCAGAATCACTCTTCTCTGGGCTACCTTCCCTTGCCCCGGGATCCATCTTTGACAGGTGAGCACTCCTCACTGACAGCTCAAAGGCTGTCAAAGGTTGCATGGCTGCATCATGCATGCATTAGGTGCCTGCATAAGGACTCTGCATGTAGAAACCAAGTGGAAATAGGGCCTTTTGGAACTAGGGCCTTGTAGAACTGGGCCAACGGCCCCAACTGCTGAAACTCGTTCAAAACTGCTCCCATTCCCTATATAAGCAATTACCTCCTGCCTGTTCTTTCTTCCTTTCCATTTCTGCTCCTGATTGGCTAACGGCTACCCTTCCCTTTGCTCCCTTTCCCAATAAACTCCATGTGGGTTTGTTCAGTTTGGCAGATCGTGTTTCATCCCCAGAAGCTACAGCAAAGAACAACATAAGCAACATGTGGTTTGCTGCCATCGCAGCTGCTGCCCCCATCAGGAAGTAGGCAGCTAGGTGGTTGGCAGTCCTCTCTGCTGGGGTTGCAGATGATGGATGTCATGTGACTTCACTGCCATCTTGATTAAAGCTGATCACATGGCATAAACCAACCAAGGAGGCAACAGGTCTCCAAGATATTTTGGATTAGGGTAGATTTTCGTATAAAAATTCCTGCCTTGAAAACAAGGCTATAAAAACAAGGCTTATGAAAGATAGGATTTTAAAACAACGCTTGTTTAAGAAGGTATTAAAGCTGCACCTTCATATTGTTCATGTACAAGAACATACCTTGCGCTGGCAGCCAAACTCTGTAATGTAAGAGTTACCCAAGTGGTATTGGTTTTAAAGATAAGAAGGGATCATAGGGAGAACACCTGATGCTTGTCACTGTGTGGCAGGGCTGAGTTCCTAAGGAGAGCTGAGGAAAGGACCCTAGCAGTTTTGGAGAGACTGGTGCCATTGATGGCCACCAGAAACAACAGCTGCCATGAAATGGACCCAGCTGGGACCTGAAAGGCATGCTTTGTATGCTGCTGAAGTTGGAGCCAGAGACGTGACCTAAGCCCCTTGGGGAAGCCTAGAGGACTGTGGGCAAATCCCAGCTGTTGAGCATGGAGCTGTTTGCATTATTGGAGCTTGGTTTTCCCTGGTCCAGACTGTGGCTGTGCCCTGCTTCTTCCCTCTTGAAGTCAAAATGGTACTTTATTTTTTGATATTGCAGGAGGCCACAGTTGAGAGACTTTAAACTTCTTTAAGAGGCTATTGGGGGGGGGGGGCTGGAGAGATGGCTCAGAGGATAAGAGCACTGGCTGCTCTTCCAGAGGTTCTGAGTTCAACTCCCAGCAACCACATGGTGCCCACTTCTGGTGTGCAGACATACATGGAGGCAGATTGTTGTATTCCTAATAAAAAATAACTCTTTTTTAAAAGGAGGAAATTTTGGAGTTTTAAATTTAAATTAAAAAACTAGATTTGTTTGGTTTGTTTTGGAGACAGGGTTTCTTTAGCAGAGCCCTGGCTGTCCTGGAACTCACTTTGTAAACCAGGCTGGCTTCAAACTCAGAAATCCTCCTGCCTCTGCCTCCTAAGTGCTGAGATTAAAGGAGTGTACCACTATACCCGGCTAAAACTGTTTTTTTTTTTTTTGAAACAGCTTTTAAAATATTTAAATTTATAAGGCTATGGGACATTTAAATTTATAAAATGTTTTGTATTATTAATATGCGCTCTTAAAAAATAAATAAATAAAAGGCTAAAGAGTTAGGGCCACAACTATGAACACCAAACACTAAACACCAGAAACTAAGATATTCCTATCCAATGATGCAGCAAGACAATGACCTAAGTGGTATGGCAAAGAATTTAGAGAACACCTCTCCTTACCAAAGGTCCAGTTCAGTCTATCAGGGAATGATTTAAGACTCTGGAGAGATGGCTCACAGGGAAAGAGCACTGGCTGCTCTTCCAGAGGACCTGAGTGAAAACATGTGGTTTCTTATCTTAGATGAACATAAGTAAACTGACACTCAAGTAATTTCATTTTTTTCTTTTTCTCTCCCCCCACCCCCATACTGGAAATAACCTCTCCCTCAACTCCAGTTCTAACTCAGCAGATATCCTACCCATTCTACACTGAAAATATTTAACACCATAGTGTATCATTCTATTTGACGTATATTCAAAACACAGTGCCAAAGACCTAATGAGGTAATCTTTGCTGAAGATACTACTGAAGCCTTAAATGAGAAGTCACAACAGCCAAGACACTGGAAAGTTTTCAAACTCTATGGTCAGCCTAGTGAACAGAAGCAGAGGACACATGCCGGGAACAGCGATTATGGGCTGTTCTATTGGGAGCTTAGAAGCCACAAACACGGGATGGATGTGCAGACGGTGGAGGCCTGACTCATGAGCTTGCGGAAGGAAACAACTCATCAGGAACAGAGGCAGTGGCCATTCGTGTGATATTTTGACCAAAAATCTGGCTTATTTACTCCATGTCATGAGAATCTGAGAGAAGTTAAAGACAAGTGTTAGTATTCAAACATCTGTACTGGCCTGCTCTTGGGATCCTGACAGGATATGCCCTCAGCTGCAACCACTAAAAGCACTTCCTGTGCACGCGCACTACATTTCCTTTAAAAGGTGGGCCTTACCCACCTCCCATCTCTTTCTCTTCTTCTCTTTCTCTTCTGTCACTCTTGATCCTAAGAACTGGTCTCTGACCACCTCTCTGTCCTTCTCTCTCCTCTTCAAATAAACCTATGTGAGCCTTGTTGCATGGTGTTTTGTGTATTATTATTTTTTTAATTACAACATTGGTTCCCTAATCCAGAAACGCTCTCCTGGCATTTCCTCCTGCCAACTGGCAGTTTGAGACACACCAGAACCCTAGAACCTGGTCCACGTAAGACAGCCTTACTTCTCCACATAAGACAGCCTTACTTCTCCACATAAGATAGCCTTACTTCTCTGGATCCCTGGGTCCCTCCATCAAACACCAGTGTGACTTCCCCTTCCCCACCTCTGGCCACTTCCCACAAGTGAGGATTCATCTCTCAACTGTGGTTCCTTGACTCTTGGACAAGACCTGGTACTGGCAACAACAGGTCTCTCAGGCTTAGTTAGGGTCCTCCGCCCCTGCCCTTTGTGTGACGACTTAACGGGAAGCTTGTGCCTTTCTCATTCAATCCTCACTTGATAAAAAAGCCATTAGATCTCGTTCTGGTTCACTTATGGTGAATAAGCCTACCAAAAATCCTCTTCCCAGAACTCTATATCCTAATATTTTATGGCACCTTTGCAACATTCTGCCAGCCAGCCAAAAATGGAAGGAGGTATCACCCTTTTAGTCTTTCACTCTTCTGCTTTCTCCTTCCCCAATAAACCTCTTACACCAACTGTTGAGGGTGGCATGTTTGTTTAATGAGAGGACCCACTGAAAGATAATCACTTCATATTGGGACCCTACCCACCTGGCTCCACCCTCATCAGATCTGCTCTCTTCCATCTGCAACAAATCTGCTTTCTCATTTACTTGGAGGCTTTGTCTTCCACTCAATACTGGCAAGAGGGTCTCTGGTGGGGCTACCGGCCTCTGCCCATTTCCCAGGATGTAAGGCTTCATTTCTCAGGCACAGTTCTCTCCTCTTCTTCTGGCTTTTCTTAAAGTCTTGGTGCCAGGAGACTGTCTCTATCAGGCTCAGAGACCTAGGTCCCTGCTGTGCTTGATGAATCACTGAGCAGCCTATGCCTTCTCACAGTTGACCCTCTCTGAATTCCTGGGACGACAGAAACCGCAGGCCCTTGGGTCTTACTTCTCTGCGTCACTCATGGGAGCTGTGTCATTGTCTATACTTCTTGCTCTCACTGGGA